TGTAAATAGGCACACAGGCAAACGAACATATGGACGGACGAATAGACGGACAAACAAACAGAGTGAAGCTAATGCCACTCCTTTTTCAAATTTTTTTTTTTGGAAAAATGCTACAAAAGGTATATAAATTAAAAGAATTTCAGTTCTAAAATAATAATATGACGGAGATTTAAAAATAAAATGATTTATTGCAAAAGTTTTTTTAGAGAAGAAAATTCAGAAGTCAAAAAGTTTTCTTTTATTTAAGAACGAATTTCAAATGTATGAAATTTTTGAGTACTTAAAATAAAACTTTAGAGATACGTAAAAATTTCTTTTGTTTTTTTTTTTTTTGGAAATATTCAAAATGTTTATGGTCGATTGTAAAAGTTGTGACATCAACATACGTTATTTTTATAATATTATTATCTAACATAAAAATTTCTTTGTCAAAATTCCAATCGGATAAAAATATTTTGTTTATGCATTCATCCTTACCAAATTTTGGTACTTACATGCATGTATATAGAAATTTCAATTAGAGAAAAACAAAATTACAAGAAGAAAGGAGAAATCATAACTGATTCTTATAAATGAATTAGGGTTAAAAACAATAATATACTGCGGTCTAGACTTATCTGGCAGCTGGCATCATCACCTGACATTGTATATATGCATATGAATAAAAAGTTTTCAAAGAAATTTGTATAGAAAATGGCAAAGAAAAAGGATTTAAAATCAAATGAGTTATTTTGGAACTTGTAAAATAAAGAAAATAGTTTTTATTTCATAATTTCTTGCTATGTAACCAATTGCAGTTGATTAAGAACTTAAAATATCAACGATAAAAAATCAAAATAATGAAATTTAGAGTTTTTAAAATGTCTTCAGTTACACAAGATATTGATAATTTGGATTCTTTTATTCCAATTCCAAACAATAAATTTAAAACAAAAATATTTATTATTTTATTTCGGAAGCTCGTGACAAATCTGTGATACACATTTGTAACTATTTCTATCAATGCCTTTCTCTACTCGAATGCCTTTCAGGCTAAGGTCATGTACGTTAGTATAATACAAATAAATCTGCTATCAGAAAGATTTTTAGAGAGGCAACATTTTTATGATTATGCAGGATAACAAGCCACAACATGAGCTATAAAATTATGATATGTAGCTTTAGAATTTGTATTGAGCTGCGCCTGCGTAGGCAAGATGAGTTGAGAAAGAACTTTAAAATTCATTAAAATGAAGAATCCTGTAAAGTTTCAAGCTTGCAGCCACAGTTAAACCTTATATTCTGTTAAGCCTCTCAAATTCCTTGAGTTCATTAGGTGAATTTATTTTAAGTGGATGCTATCTGAGAGAATGAATGCTTTGCCTTTAAAAGGAGATACTTTTGAGACTCAAGGGTGGCATTGCATCGTCAAAACAGTTTACAATTTAAATCAATTTAGCTGAATTTTATATTCTCAAAATAAGTTGCGAAACTTGTCAAATACTAAAAGTTATTCCTTCCAAATTTGGTATTGTATAAACAGACACTCAAAAATGAAAAGCACATTACATTTTAATAATGTCTTAAATACTTAATGATGTAACAAAGTACATATACCATTGTAAAAGCTCATAAAAAATTGAGAAATGCATAACATTTTTTTTATGATCTTTGCAGATCCTGCATAATTTTAAGAAGAAAGTCAAAGGAAAAGGTATATAAAAAGAAAATTTTCTCAACAATAATTTTTTTTTTGCCTTTCCAAAAAGTTGAATTTTTTATTCATTTTTTTTATTCCTTTTTTGGATAGTTTATTGTTTTTGCTGCCTTTGACACTAAGTTAGAACTTAAGTACATACTTCATTAAAATGAAAAATAAAAACAAAAGTAACTTTTTAGTTTTTTTTCTTCAAATAATTTTTCTTAATCTCATACAAAATATCTGTAAGTATAACGTATGCATTTTGAGTGCCAAGATTTTCTTTTTTGTCTTAACAAAAATTTCATTTGTTCGGCTTTGTAATTTTTATGTGTGCATTTGAAATGAAAATTTTTCGAAAATATTATTTAAATTTGTTTATAATTTTATAGGAAATCACACTCTATTTTTTTTGGCTTTTTAAAGTAGTTTATAAATTTGCAATTTTCAGTTTAAATTGCTTACAATTACAAAACCAATTACAACATTTAAAAAGAACATTGAAAATATTTTAGTACGAAGTTTTAAATAAGTTCCGCAAAAGATTTCCAATTATGCAATTTTAAGGACACTGCGCACTATATTTTAGGGAAATCTGGCCCCTCAAGCTCAGGTCTACAAGCAAACTATTAAAATATTTACTACTAGTACATAAATACAAACAAACATTTTAATTGGGTAAAAAATAAGTTAAAAAATTAAGGATAAATTTTAATTTTTATACAAAATTCAGAAAATTAGAAATAAACAAAGCATTTATTATTTGAAATTTCAATTCCAATTGGATATTGAATACCTTTATTTAAGCTTTAAAAGTGCAAGAGCTCAAGCAAATTTTGAAATGTTAAAGATCGTATTTGCGATCCTCTTTAACATTGGCTTATTTCTTAAATTATAAAGCAATTTGTACTATTCAGTTACATTATTTTCTAATAAAAAACAAAAATATTAAAAATTTCTTCTGAAAATTATGACAAATTTTTGTTCTGGAAATACATACATACATATATAGTTGTAAGTTACATACATACAAATTTACGATAATACATGAAACATGCATACATGTCGTACAAAGAAAAACAATTCTAAAATCAATTTTATACTATTGAACAGCTTCTGAACGAAACAAATTGCAACAATTTCCCTAAATTGATGGTGCGGATTATTTTCACATTTTTAACCACAAATTAAAAGCAATTTTTTATATAACATATAAAAACGTTGTTTCAGGACACTTTCAATATCGAAATTTTTGTATGTGTACAACATTATGTAAAAGGATAAAGAATGCGATGACAATTTAAAACAATTTTCTTATAAATTGTTTTTGTTTTACTTTTCCTAGATTTGCTTTTTTCAATTTTTTTTTTTTTTAATAAAGAAATATCAAATGTCGTAGACGACCGTGCGACATATAGTATAAGAACAAGAGTACTTATATAAAACGTTTTTAACTTGTATAGTTTTTATTTAAAAATGAATAATGCAAACCATCTATCATCTACGTTATACATACATACATGTGCATATGTGTGTCTGCAATATTATAGAATAAATAGTATTCAGAGAACAGAGAGATTTAAAAGTATTTTTTTTTTCCATAATATTAGCAATATAATTTTTGTAATAAAAATGAAATTTTTTGAATAATAACTTTAAGTGAAAAACTTAATAAATTTATATGTCAGGGTTATAATATAAAATTTTTTTTCAATTTTAAATCTTAAGCATTGTAAATTTCAATCAGAGTCATGTGAAAATGACTTTGAAGCTCATGTATTTTTGTAAACATTTCTAATATAATTTTTAAGAATCTTGTGCCTATATTATGTCTTGCATGAAACTAAATTATGTACATAAAATTTCTTTTTAAATTGAAATGCTTGCTATTAATTTTCTTTTTCAAAATGAATTGCATATATCTATGATCCATTTTTTAGGATCCATTAATTAATTTCCATGTAAAACATGGATAGTTTGGAATTTAATTCTATTCTTTAAATTTCAAATTATTCATGCCATTAAATGATTTAGTTTTTTGTATACGCATTTGCAGGGTGACTCAGAAAAGTATTGGTAAGAGGATGAAAAATAGGTAAAATTTTTCAACGGTACCAAATATCAACGGTTTCCGAGATTTGTACAAGGATTTTAAGGAATTTTCAGAAAATTTTGTTATACCCAAGTTTTTTTCTTATTTAATTCCCGTTCTGAAAAGATGGAAGCGGATTTTGGCAGGATTAATCGGGCATTTAAAATAAGTTGTCACATTACTTGGTTATTCATATACTTTAGGAGATACTTACTTTAAGCATTTAACCTCTAGAGAAATTCAAATTTTTCTCAATTCTTTTTCTTTCTTTCTCCCGACAATTTATTATAAAATTTTTTAAAACTCTAATTTAAGCCATCAAGCATAGGAGCAAAAGTTTTACCCATTTCTGATTTTCTAACGAGTCCAACCAATAGTAGTATACTAAAACTAAATTCAGTATTAAAGATAATGCTCATTAATTCATAATTTTAAAAGATAATTGATCTCCATTTACACTAATGAAATTTTTAAATAAAAAAAGCCACTATATCTAATTTAATTGTGAGAAATTAATATTAAGAATTATGTAATCATTTGGAATACAAAAAACAAATACTCATTTTGCCTAAATTTAGGCGTTATGAAAGAAAATCGAATATTTTAATAAGTAATCATAAATTTAGGTAATTAATTACATTAGTATGAGTATTTCATGCATACAACAAGTTTTTAAAAGAAAAATATCTTTTCAGTTTATGTTTACTCCCTTTGTTCACAAATCATAAAAAAAAAATATTGAAATTTTTATGCCCCTTAGCTTTAAGATTCATTTTAACAGTTTAATTTTATATTCTTTGTATTTTAATTAAAATTTATATAAAGCTGTTTTTTCGCTCTCTCTCTCTCTTTCTTTATGTTATTTAATTTTTTCAATGCGAAATAAAATTACAGAAAAGAAAAAGGCGAAAAAAAGCAAAAAATAAAAAAAAATGAAAAAACTTTGTTCATTTATACACTTTACTAATTAATAATTTAAAAACAACAGGTAAAAGACCAACATATAACAGTACCTACACCTTTGCTCTATAATTCATATCAATGTAATGTATTTCAATATAAAATACACTATATGCACATAAGTACATACAAAATAATATTGTATAAATATACTTATGGTAATATCATCTGAAAGACTATGAGAGAGAATAAAAATAACGACAATCATAACAAAAACAAAAAAAGAGAAAATTTTAAGATTAAAAATATTTTAATTCAATTTTATCTCACCCTTCGACCAGCTTCATTATTATGCAAATTCATTAAACTTCGAGCTTTCGCAGACATTCCATTTTTAAATCGTCCACCTCCGAATTGTGTTGATGGTGCACCAAAACTTGTGCTACTCCCAGCATTACGTTGACTTTTTTTACTACCATACATACCAGAATAATGATGATCTATAGCAAAAACTTTTGAATTCATTATCTCTCGATTAATTTTCTCCTAAAATAAATCAAAATAAGGTATAAGTATGGTATAATAATATTAGGTCTTAAGAAGATTCAATTCAATTTAAATTAAAAATTCTACTTTTAATTAAAAAAAATCTAATGCTTTAATTACATAAAAAGATAATAAAATATGTTTTTTGTTTATAAAATTAACAAAGTTTTGTTATGTACTCGCTTATGTCACCTTTTAATAATTAAAAATATTTTGAAAGTAAGAAGATTTCAAAAAGAATTCTTGTGGTAATTGACTCTAATTTTATATTGCTGAAGATTTGCATTATGAGTACAAAATATTTCCGGAAAGTCAGTTCTGGATTTTATACACAAGCATTAAAAACGAAGGCATAAAAACAAAATAAATATAAAAAACTGTTATACAAAAAGAGTTAAAATACACCAAACAACCAGTTTTTTTGTAAAATTTAAAAATAATGCTAAATTTTGGCAAATTTGCGACGAATATAAAATTTGGATGACATATGATATAAAAGGATGAAAACTGAAGGTTTCAAATGTATATTAAAACAATTAAGTCAAAGACGACGTGATCATGGGATCAAGTTGTATTTAAAGTATGGCTATACTTCTGAAAGTCTTGTCAAAAGTATAACACACCATACAACATAATTAATATTATAATTAATTACCAAAAAATTTAAAATAAATTTTTTTCGCGACCCTGTAACTAAAGTGTTTTAACCCAAAAAATTCAGTTTCTCAGATTTCAGGGAAAAGATCTTTCGAAACACTCTACACTTATACAACACTTTTACGAAGCGCAATAAAATGCATTCGAAAGTCATTAATTGTATTACAGTTTACATCGATTTATATTTTGAATTCTTTTTCTGTTAAGTTAATTAGACTTTCGTCACAAAAATCCGATTCTTAAGTAGATACATATGTATATGAAAAATTACAAATATTTAAAATTATTTGAAAACTCGGCATTTATAGCAAAATTTCCAGTTACAATTATTATAATTCGAGAATTAAGGTCATAATTTAACGGAAGATAAACTCACATTCAATTTCAGCAAAACTTCTCTTTAAAATTGATCTCAAAAACCTCTGATAAACTAATATGAATTTTTTTTATAAAAATTTTAAGGACTTCCGAATTTATTTTTACATTTTAAAATTTAATTAACAACTTATTATCAAGAAGTGGTTCTACAATACTCAATAGAGAATTAAATACAACATCATATAAATATACATATAATATGAAGGAATGTGTACATATAAAAGGCTTTGAATAAAAATTATTGGTTAGCATTCATCAGTTTTAAAAAGTTAAAATTCAAGAAATAATAATTAACTACAATTTCTTTATGATAAAGTTTTACATTCACATTTATTAAATGGAGCATGTTAATTCGAAATATTTATGTATATTTGTATGGCTTTAATGATACACGTGCAAAAACTAATACACATGTAACTTGAACTAAAATCTTATATTAACTGAGGTAAATTAATCGATTTAAAAATATCCTTTTTAACATAATGTATAACATTATGTTAAAAAGGAACTTAAGTTCGAAAGAACTTTTTACACGAAGGAAAAAACTGATTTATGATTTTTTAAAAAGAGCATCCCCAAAAAAAAATATATTTGTATATGGTACATACATATATTATGAACTACTTATATATCTTTTTGAATTTAATTTCTACCTTTATGTGTATGCATAAATACTAGAGTGTAATGTGTATAGGTTAAAAAGCAGGCAAGCAAAGAGAGTAAAAAAAAAAATAGAGGAAAAAAATTTCCTTGTTAACTTTCATTTCCGTGTTTAGGAGAAAACACATAAAAAAGATAAAAAACGAAAAAACCTATTGCAGTTGCCTTTTTTATGACCTCAGGGAATAAAAAAAAAAGTTTAAATAATTAAAAAAATTCATCATATTTTAAATGTATGTGTACATTTACCTATTTAACTGAAGGTTGAAAAGTCCTCTAAGTAAATAAGTGTATACACATAAATAAGTTTTGTATTATACGTGCATATATGTATGCCTGATAGTAGTTGTAGCTTAAGGCTATTACAAATATACAAAAACTAGAATCTGAGATTCGAGTGATTTTTGATAAAGGAAATTTGAATGAGATGTAGATTTCTTTTAGTTATGTAATAGTTATTTTAGTTATATAAAAAGCGCATATATGATTGGTTTTTTAAAATGCATAGGTTGTGAAATTTTTTTCATAATAAAATGTCAGGTTGTATAGCTTATTATAACTAGAGAAATCAAAAAAAAAAAATCAACACTTTAAATTAAAACCTAATCTTAAACTCATGTTTATGGGGACATTTTCGCGATACTTAGCACTAGTTTGAAGAATGTGTATACCTGCACATATACTTTTGTTTAGAAAAGAATGGTTTTCAATACACAAAAGGAAAGAAATATTAAACTACAATAAAATGAAATAATTGTTCTCAAAAATGAAATATTTTCAAATAATAAGTTTCATAAAGCCCCAAAATTTTATTGTAAAAGCTATGAAAGACAGTATTCCTTACTGTTCAAAAACAAAGTTTTCAAACCGACTTCAAACTATACTTAAATCCAAAACTAAACACTAGATTATCAAAGAAAACCAATTTTATTTTTATATTTTGGTTTTTTGATGTTAAAATTTCTCTTTAAAAATCAACGTTATATCAATTTAAATATTAACAAACGCACATTGGAAATATTCATCGTCAAAGTGTATGAAATACTTGTTAAACTAATTTTTTTTTTTTTAAGAAAATTATTAATATGCACTCAACTTATTTGCGTCATAAATTTTTACTTAACTATTCTTTGAACTCTTGGTATGGTTACTTATATAATTTCATAATTACGTCACTAAAAGAACATCATATTTATTTCTAATTAGAATATACAATATTAGTTTAAATTAGAGTAAGAAAATTTTCTTTACCATATTTGCTCAATTTAATAGACAATTACCCAGAAAATTATTAGAGACAATGCATATTATTCAAGTACACGAATAATTTTATGCGGATATTTTGATTTGCGTTGCGTCGCTTTTATTTGTATTCTCTCTTGTTAGAATTTCTTAATATCTTTGTTTTTGATATATTGTACTTCAATACTAGTTTCATCTAATTTAACGTAAGGCAAATAAATATTTCTTAGAGTATATGAAATTTCAAAAGTGCAAAATATTTGGCACTAAGTTCTGACAAATACTATAATAAACAGAGATTTTGTAAAAACTACTAATGGCTTTGTTGAAATTTTTTTTATATACTTATTGTAATTTTTGTTGCTTTTTGTTTGTATAACAATATAAGAAATTCAGGGCATTTCGAAATGTAATTTAATATTGTTATTAAGGATTACTTTCTTTTCTTCTATGCATAAAATAAAATAAAACCGAGCATATATAAATATTTTTTTTAATTAAAATACTGTCGTATGTATCTATGGCTCTTATTACTTTACAAAAAATTTTATGTACAAAATTACATAATAATTAGTAATTTACTGCCATAGTGTAATAAATATACGAGCAAAACTTTACATTTACAAAATGAAATTGTATATTTGTATATACATATGTATATAGGCAGCTACATATTTATTTTTTATTATTTTGTTATCCTTAAATTGTTTTCAACTACTGGTACAGAGCGAGATATTAATTAGCTCAATTAAAATAATTTCAACAATTAAAATAATTTCCAACAAAAAAAAAAATACTTTTTTTTTAAAGTCATTAAAATATTGTCAGTATTGTTGTTGTTGGAGTTCTTCCTTATTTTCATGCAATATAATTGAAAGAGAAACATTTTCTTAATTAAATATTTTCATTTAAACTTTAAGCACAATAATAATTTCCTCTTTGATTCACAAAAAAAAAAAAAAACAAGGATATTCACAATTTTTTTTTCATTTTCATCTTTCTTGTTCTTTTTTTGTTTTGTTATCTTCTTTTTATTTTCTTATTATTGTATTTTATTTATTTCATTTGTTTTGTTTTTTATTTCATTTTTTTTTTTTTTTGGGTTTTTCTTACTTGTAATTCGAGCATTTCCTTTTCTTGTAATTTTGAATTTAATATTTCTTTGGTAATTTTCTCTTGTAGTTCCAAAAGTACTTCGGGTTTGAAATGATTCATATTATTATTATTATTATTATCGTCATTGTAATTTGGATCTTTAGCAGTTCTGTTATTACCATCGGTTGTTATAGATCCTCCTGTTGTAGAAATTGTTGTACCATTAATTGTCGTACCATTTGTTAATTGTGTTATACCACTACCGTCTGGTAAATATTTTTCATCTAATTTATTTTTTGACGGTGGAACCGAAATTAATCCTCTTGTACCACGTTTACGTTCCTTTTCTCTAATATCTATAAAATCTTGAGAAAATCTGTAAAAGAAAAAAAACAAATTTTTATGAATTTTAAAATGAAAATTTATTTGGTTTTTGTTATGGAAGGGTTATTCTGTGGTTCTTACTGAAAACATTTTAAATATTTTATTTTAACTTAATTTTTTTTTGTTTTAAGTCGTAAAATAATTTTAGAGAATCTCGCGTTTCGCTGATATGAAACAAGGATAGAAATTTAGTAGTGTTGAAGTGAAAAATTTGTTTAATCGAAAAATCAATATTCTGTGTAAGCCTAATTATTTAATTTAAAAACTTGTAATTTTATAACAAATATCTTTATTGAGAACTTCGGAACTAATTCACTTATAAGTACTTTTATATGAAGTAACAGAATTGTGGGTAAGAAGTAGAGGTTCCTGTTGATTGTTTTTTTTATTGAAATTTCGTTATAAGAGTTATGGCGAATGTTATAGATCTGTAAGAACATATGCAAAATGAATATTTATTAATTATAATTCAGATTGAAGAAAATTGAATAATAAGAAAACCTTGTTGAAATTAGATAAGAGAATGCAAAATCATCCCTTTTTAACGAATTTTAAATAACTGTCGGGAAGCAAGACCAAACAATAGATTTCACCCGTCGATAGTTCACAATCAACTAAAATATGGTTCAGCCAACCAATCAACTTAATTTTAATATGCAAAAAGATATTGCGTAACGTACAACTTATATAACAACATTTGGTTGGGAAACAGCAGCGCACAGTTTGCCCACACATTAACACATGGTCTTCCCTAAAAATTCACGGTTTTTTTCGTATGGCTAAAAAAGAATTAATATTTATGTTTGCAGCGTATAAATACGTTGTACTTACAGCTTTTCTACATTTAAAAATTCGACTTTTATTAAATACGTAATAACATTACTCCATCAGATTTTAAGTAATAGCATGTTATTACTTTTAATATTCTGAATTAAATTTACTACTTTTTGAGCATATAAAACTCAATTTATCCAACATATTTTGTTATATCAAAAATTCAAATGATTCAATTGAACAAAGCACAATAGTTTTTCCCCCAATGAAGTTCGTAAAATGTCAATAGAAATGGGAATTAAAATTAGTAATTTCATACCAATTACAACTTATTACAAAGATTTCACTTTTTATTACCACGGGGGTATTCTTATTTATCTATTTATAATGATAAAATTTTGTGAAATTCGGAATTTTCTTTGTTACTCAGTGAAATATATGACTAAATCGATCGAATAATTTCTGTCGACTTCTTTGCAGACAATAGGAGACGTCATGTTCCGGCATCAAATTTCACAATTCAAGTTTTCGGTGGAATTCGTGGGGATGCTTAAATAAGTATCAATTTGTGTGTCTGTGTAGGCAATCGCATACCTCTATTTCGGTCGCACCTGACCTATTTTTGAGACATATCATAACTAAACGTTTACTAAGGGTCGATTGTACACTTTTGATAATTTTTAGAAAAAAACTAAACTTATTATAAAAATCGGATGGCATATTGAGGGTAGCCTCTACTATGAAAAGGATGTTTCTATTATTCTACGTACGATGTTAACAAAAAGCTTACTAGCGGTCTTAAAAATGAAAACAAATGTTTAAAAAACGTTTCCATTATGTTGCGTAACATTTTTAAAAAACCAAAAAAAAGCATTTTGCGGTCGATTATATGCTGACCACATCTTACATATATATTTCCATTCTTGTACTTTGATTTCTGCATAAAACAAAAAAAATTACTTTTAAACAACGTCATTTAGTTCCGGGGGGAAAAAATTTTAAAAATATTCAAGACAAAAATTTGATCGTGATGATGAAACTTTAATTTTCATTTGAATTTTTATGATAACTTTATGGTGTGAGTGTTTTTCACATTTCTTCTTCATCAAATACTTAAGTCCATGGAAAATTAAATGAAGTTTTATAAAATTTTATAAATAGAGATAATTTTAGTATCATAGACACACAAAAGATTATCCTGAATAAGTTTTTCTTGTCCTTATGGTTTGTTATGCCTTTCTTTTTTTGTAGAAAAAAAAGTTGTGGACAATTTGAATGTCTTTTTTTATTCTGTTTCGTTTTTCTTTTCATGCTTTGTCGTAATTTACATAATAACATTCGATGAAAAGGAAGGATAGAAAGGATATAGAGATTAAGTTGATTAATTTGATAGATAATAGAGACGCGGCTAATATAACTTTGAAGAGAAATGAATTTTTGTCGTCTTTCTTTTTTAGAAAACAGAAAAAGAGAAAAGAGAATATTCAACAAGCAAAACAATTCGGCTACGTATAATAAAAAAAATTAGACTTAGGTTTAGACTCTTAAGTTTTTAAAGAATTTGCAGACAAAAAAAAATTTTAATTTATTATTTAAATTTAAATACAATAAAAAAAAATTTTTTTTCGCATAAAAAAGTTTGAGTATTGTAATTCGAAAAAAAACCATTGGAAAATTTATTGAGTACCTCTTAAATTGAAGTGTCCTGCAAATTATACAATTGTTTGTCAAATACGGTTGCAAACCTGCACAATAAGAGTTGAATAAGGAAATATGACCTTGTTAGTGGAATAATAAAATTTTTCATGTACGAGTATATGAGAGTTTATTTGCATACAACATGGAGCATATTTGTACTTAATTCTACATTGTGTAAATTTTTCCATTTTCATTATAAAAAATTCTACGATTACCTTAAAACATCTTCCATAAATTTTTATGCACTTAATAATTTCACTTTATTTTGAGATTAAAGCTCAAAAGAAATACATAATACATAAATAAAAGATTTGTTAGGCTACAGTAGTGCGAGATGCGGAGACACACCTACCTTCTCTCGAAGCACTTCGTAATTTTTTGAGCCTTCAAACGAAACGAAATTCTCGATGAATTTATTAAGCATAATGAATAAACTTCCTTAAATTTTATTGGCATCTAAAAAACACCGAATTCGCCACTCACTCTCTATTGAAGTTGCAGAAAACTGGAATTTTATACGGAGGCTCATACTAGTACAAAAACCACAAAAATTTTAGAACTTGCAATTTTTATCCTCCAACCGTTTAAATTAGGAAACAGAAGTTTATACAGATAAGAACAAAAATAATATTATATAGATTTTTGCAACCTCATCAATAAAAATAATTACCCTTGATACCGAGCATGTTCATTGTCATGTTGAATTCAAAATTTTCTAAATGCACATTTAAAAATTCAACTGCACATTAGCATTGATATAAAGTACGTCTAATTAATGTCATTATCAAATGAAGCACTTACAAAAAAAGGTAAAATCCACATATTTTCCTTAAAATTTAGAGTTTGTAAAGTTAAGGCTTAAAGGCATAGCGTCAAAAAACTTAAAGTTTAACTCTTCATGATATTCCAAAAATTTTATACAGTGCGACTTATATAATCGCAGTCTTAAAAACATTGGTACTTAATATAACTAACATAAATTCAAAATCATATAGGCATATTATAAAACACCCAAAAAATATATTCTGGAAATATTTCAAATATTCTCAGTGAAAATGAATATCAAGTCACATATGTATTCCCATTATATTGCACATGAATGAATCGTTCATACACGTCCGCATAAGTAAGGTACACCCATACATAAATTATATATGTATAAAAATACGTTTCATATCGCCGTCTTCAGTATTGTATTGAAAATATACTCATATGGATTTCATACAATCGAACTCATAAAATATACAATGTGTATATAATAAAATATCTACCCTTACATAAAAGGCACATATTTGTTAAGTTTTGTAAATTTATTGAATAAAAATCGAACAAATAGAATAATATGACTATTTAAAATTTGATAATAGAGGTTTTTCCCCCCTTATAACAAAAAAGGAAAACAATAATGCCCAAAAAAACAAAAACACTTGTAGCGTTAGCATAACTTTTATAAAAAGAATATTGCACCAAGGGAAAAATTTAAACCAATAATATATTTTATGTTCTAAATCAATATTTGAATTATAGTGTAATCAGTTTTGATGATTTCAGAAATGCTTATAAATTTATAAATAATACAAAATTTATTACAGGAGTGAAATATGTGTTTGGAGAAATAGAAATACACATTGGAATTCTATGCAAGCGTGTTATAAGCTGTTTAAAGTGTCAAAATAAATCTGAAAAATTTAAATATAAAAAAAATCAAAAGTACAATACATCGAGCAGGATAAAGGATATAAAATGGGAACAACGTATACTAATTTGCTGGCATAAGAATGATTGATGAAGAAATTGATGATTGATGATTAATTTGTAAAATTGCCCAGGAGAAGAAAGCCAGGAAGCCTGGCATGTATAAAGTAAAAAGTGACGTATAAATTGGCGGCCGTCACAAATCAAATAGCCAAATTAAAGGCAGTTATTGGAGGTTATGGTCTTTTGAGAGACATCTTTACTTTTGAGTGATTCAATCCTGTCAATAGCGTTGTATGGTGCGAGGGTGCGTGCACAAAATTCTCTCTATAAAGGGTACTGCATTAAGTGGTCAAAATCAGTATATGTATATAACATAAAGTAGGAGTTGAGCGTATTAGAAATATGTTATGGGGACTATTCAAATTACAGTGCTGAAATTTTGCATAAACGAATAATAATTATAGCCATTATTTTAATAAAAAATCTTAATTTTAATGTTTTTATTGAAATGTAACAAATAATAATAAAATTGAAACTAAATTTTATACAAACTTTTTAATTAAAAAACAAAAATTGATTTTAAAAAATTTGAAATTTTTGAAAAGAAAAACTAGAATTTTGTATTAGGAAAAACAAAAAAAAATCTAGTAAGCATAAAAGTTTTTATCGAAACTTTTCTTGGTAAAGAAAATTGATAGGTCTTTAATTTTTGCCAATTTTATAAGAAATGGTCCCATATGGTTTGAAATTTTTAAATGCTTTTTCCTCACATTGGGTGCAATTTAAAAATTTGAAAAAATAATTTTCGGAATTTAGACACCA